TGGGTTCGATGAAACCTATTTGCTAGGTTACATTGAACCCAGATCTGCTGGGTTCCGTCGAAGTTCATAACTGATGGGCAAATAAGCAATTGTTAGTGGTGATGTGGGATCCATTTGGATGGATTTGGTGTGTTTTTGCCAGATAGCATGTGACATGGCAAAAGTTTTATGCATGTCATCACTTTTTTAAGTTTTGCTCTTCACATCATCAAAAAAAATATAAAAATTGCCACCTAAGCAGGGTTAACGGCCCAAATTAACAGAAGGACTAACGGAGTGCATTTTGTATAGTTGAGGGATCAAAAAAGTGCAAAAAATTGTTGAGGGATAAAAAATGTGCATTTTTTAAAGTTGAGGGACCAAATTAAGCATTTAACCATGATTAAAAACTTAAAATTTTAATTTGAAAATCTTAAATTGGAGTCTTGAGTCAGATGAAGAGGGATTTGGGAATAGAGGATGATTATTTTTTTTTATATAATCTATAATTAAATGTACCAAAAGAAAAAAAAAAAAAGAATAGTGGTATTGGAAATTAGACCAAAAATAGTAAAAAGATTAGACAAAAGTGAAACGATAAATGGAAATTAAAGTAGAATGGTAAAACAGGCTGCTTCTGGTCCTCATTAAGTTACGGCCCAATTCAACAAAATGGACCCAATGTTTCTACATAAAATAATCCGATCCAATTAGAAATCCATATAGTGGTGAGTATTTTTAGGTATAAATGGGATATAAGTTATATTTAATGCTTAATTTAAAAATTTTCAAGAATAATTTTTTAGACTTAATACTTACCCAAATACGTGAATACCTTTATTTGGTACCTATCCTAATAGTTATTAGGTAACTTATGGATATATGTTTGTGTACTTAAGGAAAAATGAGGCCTTGTATGAATTAATGTTATTGTGTCTTGTGTATGGTTCATAATTTTTTATTTATACGAGTTATTATTATTGCATGTGATTTTTTAAGATTAGGGATTATTTCTATGCTTTATTTAAAAAAAAAAAATTAGTGTTATTATATGCATATAAAGTATATAAATATACATAAAATTTTAATTATATACCTACGGTAAGAAGTCAGTTAAACAAATTATTACTTGAATACCCAGTTTATTACTTAATTTACTAGATTTGTTTGACTAACTTGTTACCGTAGTTATATAATTGAAATTTTACTTATATTTATATACTTTATATGCATATAATAACAATAATTTTTTAAAATAAAAATAATAAA